AACAAACCTTTTATTTTATTTTCATAATATATAATTTTTAATATAAAATTTTAATTTTATAACATTAATATCATTAAAAATATACCTTTAAAATGAGATTAATATTAAATATATTTAATAAAAATTTAAAATAAATAAAAAATAATTACGATGTTTAGTTATGTTTTCAAATTATTATTTTTTAAATATAAAAATTAATTTGATGAAATAAACACACAAAAATCATATATTTTTTCAAATTCTCAAAAACAATCTTCATTCCAAAAAAAATCATATGAAAATAATGACTTTTAATTTAATTTTATTAATCAAACGAGTTTATAATTTTTTTTAAAGGAAATAAAAAAAATTTCATATTTGATTTACACCTATGCATAGATTATAGCGATCCCGGTTGTCCCTTTACTGTTCTGTTGTATTCCGGACTTAGTTCCGTGGAGTTGGTAGTTGTATCTATCTTGTTGTCATCCTTTAATTCCATTTGTTCGGGTTTTAGGATGTATTGGGCAGAGTTGTTACAGGTTGTTTAGGCTTTGGTTTCAATTCTTTGTTGCCCACTTTTTAGGAGGTCCGCTCGAGTGGGTCTTCTTGCGCTCGAGCGGAGATTGCACGCTCCCAGTATTTTGGTGCTCTGCAGAACTTCTGCAGGCATGTTTTTCACGCTCGAGCGGGTTTCTTTGCGCTCGAGCGGTGGCGCTCGAGCGGGTAGTACTTTTTGGTGTAAGTTCTGGGAGGGGGAAATCCACGCTCGAGCGGACTGGTTTTCGCGCTCGAGTGGATGTACTTTATTCTTGTGTCTTGGAGCTCGAGCGGGACTTCTTGCATTCGAGCGTACCTAGTTTTTTGTTCTTAACGCTCGAGCGTTGTGTTCTCCGCTCGAGCGGGAATGTCGTATATCAGTTGGCAGCTAGGCATTTTAAAATCACTTTTTATATTCTCTCTCTCTCTCTTACTTTCTAAAAAGACATTTTGAGAGTTCCTCTCTCTAGAAACTCCCTTCTCTCTAGGGTTTGATCTAGTTAGAGTGTTTCCTTTTCCTTCGGCCTTTGTAAAAGTTGGGTTGATCGTCGAGGGCTACACATTGATCCGAGAATATTGAGTTTTGGAGCACGTTGAGTTTCTTCACCTTCTTTCCTTGAGCTCCGAATTTGAGGTAGGGATTCCTACTCACTCTTATGGTCTTTGACCTAGATTTTTGGTTGTTTTGATAAAGTGTTGAAGTTTGGTAAATTTTGGGACTTAGGGTTTCAAAATGTTAAAAAGAGGATTTGTTATTTTGAGTCTAAAATGTGTATTGTGGATTTAAAATAATGATATCGTTATTGGTTGTTAATATTTAGACCATTGGGTCAATATTCGAGAATCGGGTGGAAAACCCTAATTTTGAGAAAATTGTGACTTTATGGAATTGAGTTGGAAATAATGAAATTGACTCATTATATAGTAGAATAGTGGAGTTGGATTTGTTAATCGCTCATGTAGTATTCATGAATTCATGTGAATGCCACAGTGGTATTTCCTATGTGGATTCCAGTAATAATAAATCACATTCTGTGTTTTTTTTTTTAAAAAAAAAATATTCTACAGATGCAATAACAGTGTACAATTGTAGAGAAAATATTACACATAACATATGAATCTAATTATCTAATTTTATAATAAATAGATAATCTGTTTTAATATTGTTGTATAAATTAATATAATTAACTAAAATAAATAAACTCATAATTAATCAAATAAATTACAGACTAAGAAAATATGCTGGAATTTACAATGATATTACACAGAAATAGACAATACAATAAAATGGTAAAGGGAAGCAAACCGAAGCCTGTGTGATACCACAGTCTCCTTAAAATAGATTCGCCACCTCACCGTTGGGTGCTGGAGGTACGCCGGCGTCTATTTCTCAGGATACGACGGTTTTTACCAACTACAACAGAAGCACCTTCTGATTAGCTTAGTGAACGGACAACGGCAGCACTCTCTCTCAGGAAGAAAATTATAGGAGAAGTAGACTGACAGTGTATGGATGTCAAGGAAAAATTCTATATTTATTTTCAAGGAATAGGGCCTCCTTTTATACACCATGGGGGAGAGGAGAAGAGCCTCTAGCCATCAAGGCTGGCAACTGATGCTAGAAAAACTGCCCAATCAATTTTGTAAAACTGATGAGCCTAAAATGTGTGAGTTATATACACATTTATGAGGCAATTTCTTATTCAACCATTTTTCTCCAATACGTCCTTATCACCAAAAAAGTATAAACCTTAGACCAAATAATATATGGTCCCATAAAAGTGAAATTTGCATAAATTAGTCCCAAAATATATATATATATATATATTTGTTTTATGAGTAATTAAAAAAAGATTTACTTTTGATTATGTCTATCCATTTTCATTTTTCATTCTCTTAACCTCCCACAAAAATAAAAATAAAAATAAAAATAATTTCTTTTATTTCATTTTTATTTTTATTTTTAACTTTTTTTTTATAATAATTTTAAAATTCAAACACAACACTAAGATACCTTTTTATGCCTCTCAGTTTCATTAATTTATTTTAGAGTTAATTACACCAAGACACCATCAATTATCTTTGAATATCACTTTACTTTTTTTTTTTTGTCTACGAACTCATACGTATTAACATTTCAATTTTAAAAATTGTACAAGTATATCCTTTTTAGAACTGATGTGAATGGAATAACGAGACAAATCTTGTAATGAGAGGACATGATAGAAAGACAAATCTTAGGGGCATTTAGTCATAAGGCGCATTTCACTTATGTTTTATATAGTTTGAATTATTTTTTTATCTTTTAATAAATTTTATGAGTGACATAGTTATTAAAATATCTCTAATAATAAAAAGGTAAAAATACATTAATGTTTACATTGACAATGTGAATATTTCTACTGTTAAATATGAATATTCACATCACCAAATGCTAAAGGTTAAAAAAATATCTGTAAAGATAAAATTATCTATAAAATACTTTAAATATAAGAATTATGATTTGATAGATCAAATATCTAAATAGCGGGACTTATTAAAATACAAAAATATGTTATGAATTAATTGAGTTACAAGTACTACATAGCTTGAAAAAAGACTAATGAAAATAATTCAAGAGGGACCTCTTCCATCCAGATGGATGGTCCAGAACTCGCAATTGCCATCTGAGCTAGGCCATGAGCAACTCGATTGCCCAGCCGAGGAGTATGAGAAGTATTCCAATTTCGAAAACAATGGCCCCTTGCAATAGCTTCCTGAAGAACGTGACTGTAGGAGCATAACAATGGGTCTGCATCTTGAAGAGCTCAAATGATGTTGAGCAAATCCCCTTCAAAATGAACATCAAGAATGCTCAGGTCTATAGCAAAATGCACCGCTCGTTGAGCTGCAAAAGCCTCAGCACAATTTGCATCACCCCAACAATCAATCCTCTCTGACAAAAGCTGCAATAACTGCACCAGCGTGGTCCCGAATAATAACACCAACTCCAACTGCCTTGAGGTGATTGAACACAGCACCATCAAAATTAACTTTGTAAAACCCATCAATTGGAGCGACCCAACGGACAGGCTCCCCAAAGACTGGTGCACTAATGGTTCGATGATTCGCAAGACAGAAGTCATGTAAAAGTTCACACACCCATTGAACTATGTCCTCCGCTGAACGAAACACTTCATTAAAAACAGCTTGATTGGGAGCACTCCACAAACCCCAACAAAGCGAAAAAAAATAGGCCAAGTCCATATTCATCAACTCTATTTTCAATCACCGAAACCCATTGAGAAAAATCTGTACAATTCCAAGATTGAACCTCAAATCGCAGCGGACTTAATCCTCATACCTGTTTCGCAACAGGACAATCACGAACACAGTGCAACAAATTCTCTAGACAGTTGGGACAGAGTACACAATTTCCAGCCACAGAGACATGCCTACGACGCAACAAATCGGACGTGCGGATGATATTCAGAGAAGCTTTCCACGCAAAGAATTTAATTTTGTTCGGAATTCAAAGATGCCAAAGTTTCTTCCAAATAAATCACAACTGAAAGTAATAAATGATGTGTACCAATACTCCAAAACCACAATAATCACTCCAAGTACAAAGGACTCATAATAAAATAAAAATAAAAATCAGGTGTAATAGTAGCAAAAATAAGATGGAATGAATGAAGCATCCGGATTCATTGCCGGGTAGTTTCCTGAATAAAGACTACCATTTAAAAGATTAAAAAAGAAGAAAAAAAAAGTTCAAAGAAAATGAGCCCAAAAGACATCTATACAAACACATGTTCATTTGGTGATTAATTAAACAACAATTACTTCATCAACCCTCACATCTCTTACAAATAATACTGGAATCTTTAGGCCTCTAGTCATGGTATGCTCACATAATACCATTTAAGCAGCATGATACTTACATAAATAAATAAATAATTGCAGTCACTATCAGTATCCATATCCATATCCATATCCATATCCAGAATATGATGTGTAGGCAACACAAAAACCTTGCCTACATCACCATCTAAAACAAGCAGTTGATTTAGAAAATTTCCAAATGCTTAAGCAAAATGTCTAAACAACCATGATTGTGTGCATCGCGTAAGCTTTTCTAATTCAAAACAAACACATATCAGTGTAGCCAGAAAATACACAACTTTTAGCTTTTTTGGGGTAGCAGCTATGAGCTAAATCCACCGGCTGTTACATATAAACAGCACCAGCTAATATAGAACATTGGCATAACACTTGGTGCAAAAGAGTATGAAATCAACTTTCAAGATCAGTAAATCACTAATCATCTCCAAGTCACGCTTCTTTAACATGATCCACAGAGAGAAAAAGTAATTGAAGAGAGAGAGAGAGGGAGAGGCTGGGGAAACAGAAATTCAACAGTTTGATTTCATCCTTTAAACTGCCATTCTCTACGGCACATGGGGCAATGTGCTTGAGGAGTCTGTGAATTCACCCATTTCAAGATGCAATGAAGATGAAACGCATGGTTGCATTCACCCCATACTGCAAAACAAACCATAATAATTGAAGTATTAATTTTATCAACAAACTTTACTAATACTAAAAAAACTCAATTGCAGTCCCAATCTACCAACTACAAACCACCTGGTACAACTGTACAAGGACATACTCTTAATCAATTAAAAATATTGAAAAGAAAAATGTCAACATCTAATCAGAATAATGACCACTATATCTTACATGCAATTTTTTACCTCTGAATTTAGCAGGTTCATATAAATTAGCACAAGAATTTTATCAATATTTGCCAAATGTTAAGAACTGTAATGGAAAGAGAACTAGGAGTAAATATCTGTCCCTTATAAGTGAAGGTTTCATCATATATCGTCGTATATGGTATACTTTTTACTTTGTCAGATATGATTGTTCAAAATTAAGGTAACAACTTTCATTCGAATAACACATTAATTATATTACTAGTAATGAAATTCTCATTCATTTTCTTTAATGCCTGCCATCCAAACATGGCATAAGTGAACGAATAAAGCTCAGCTACACTCAAGGAAACATTACTTATGCCTGCCTCTGTAAATTGGGTGCTTTGCTCCTTTCTTGTAGGCATATTCTGCAAGGTTACCCACTTGTGGGTGCCTATAAAATTTGGAGGAATCCCAGTGTCTCTATTTAATAACTCAGAAATATCAATCTTCATCGCTTAGATCTAGCATATCACCTTAAGAGTAGCAGATTTTAATATTTTATAATTTTAATCAATTGAGTTTGTGGGTGACAAGCCTTTGTGCTTATGTGTGACCTTGAGACATTAGCAATGTTAAAAGGCTCTTAACTCTCAAGCATCTGTGGCTCAAGCTTGGATTAGTTTGTGGAGTCATAGCAATCAACTTCCATGTCTGTCTTAGAAGTGACCTTTGTCACACGACCAATGAATCCAGCATCCTTCTATGGTTCGGGCACGTCTTCCAAATTTCAGGCATACAGGTATTTGCCTAAGCCCATCCTCAAAGACTGTATTTAAATCATGGCTGGCCATAAGAAATACACAATCTATCCTCAAGGATTATCCAGTCAAACAACGAAGAGCAAGAATAGAAGACACACTCATGGCTTGGCTTACCAAACACACTCAAACATCAGACTCAGACAATGGAACAAAAATCCCAGTCACTTTTGCATGGGCTCATGAACAATCATAGTGCATATGAGTGTTTATGCACACAAGCATGAGCACTTGCCCACTCACCCAACACATGTATGCACAAAAAGTATAGCCTATGTCCACATTACCATCTATGAGGCACTGACACTCCAAAACAAGTGATGTAGTGGTGTCAGACATGGTGACATGCCGGGGATAGGCCAACTAGTTTTTTTTTTTCCCCTCTTCTTTAGTGCTTTGAATGAATGTTGGATATTGAAAGTTTATTACATTTGCTTAGATTTAAATAGTTAATAAATCATCTATAAAAAAGATATAAACAATACGAGTTAACTTAAGAGTGGGCCTACGAAGCATGGACATCTCTCCGAAAGTCACGTACAAGTGTCCAACACGTGTTGGAAACAGACACACACCGGACACGCTGAGGACACTCTGGGGACACGTTAAGGATATGCTACGGACTATTTATTTTTATTTTTTTAATTAAATTTTTTAATATTTTTACAAAAATAGCCTACTTAAGGTTGATAAATTTGATAAAATCAAATATTTGAGATAAAATACATATTAAATATTTAAATATATGACAAATAACAAATATATAAAATTGTGGAGAAACTACCAATAGGTCATAATAATTTAACTTAATTCTCATAAAGTCCTATTGAAAATAAGTCCTAATAAAATCGTCGTTAAAAATAATTTTTTGCGACGAATTTTTGCATGTCGCTAAAAATTGACTATTAGTAACTTTTTTGTCACAATTTTTATAAATTGTTACCACTAAAACTTACAATTAGTAACGTTTTTCCGTGACAAATTTTTCAAACTATTGCTCAAAGTTAAAAATTTATTTTGTGTTAATTTTTTTAAACTGTCGCTAAAACTTATAATTATTGACATTTTTTGTGACAATTTTCAAACTATCATTGAAAATTAACAATTAGTGACTTTTTCAACTGTGTTTGATGAAAAAAGCCATTAATTCTCATAAGACCTATTGGACAATAAATCCACCTATTACGACCTACACGTAAGTTCTCCTAAAATTATATGTTTTGCACGTGTCCCTAACTTGTCGTATCTTGCATTTTTTGAAAATTTGTGTCCACATGTCCGTGTCATGTCACATGTTTGTGTCCGTGATTCTTAGAAGTGGGTTATATATATTGAATTAGTGCTAGTTTTTGTTAATTTTGATTGTTTGTGATTGTAATAGCAAAATAAAAAAGTAAAAAAATTATTTTCCCCCACTTTTTTGTAATCAACATGTCCCATGTCTATGTCTATGTCTATGTCTATGTCTGTGTCTGTGTCTATGTCTATGTCCGTGCTTCTTAGTTCACAATTTAATCGCCAAGCTGAAATGGTAAAGATAACAAATAATGCATACTCATCCAATATCAACAAAAAGTGCTGAAGATGTCAGGAAAAACTATATTACAGGCCAACATTCTCAAATCAGCAATACATCTGCTAGGAAATTCTAGATGACTTTCAAGTATTGTCCATACGAATAAGCATTAAGTCCAGAAGAATTTATTAAAAAGAAAGAAAATAGTGAATTAATTTCCTTACTTTATTTTAAGTGATGGAAAAATAACACTCACAATTAATTTTGACAATTAGCACACCTCAAGCATAACTCACTAATCATCACGTAACTTGCACTAAAATTGAACCTCAAAGAATTTTCTGATGTCTCACACAACCGTTGAGAAAATGGCATTAACTGTATCCTAGTAGGTTCAAGGTTCAAGCAAGCATGCACAAGGCCTCAGCTAGATGCAGTATACAGAATTAAATTGATTTATAGGTTGATGCCCAGAGATACCGAAAACCATTAGAGAAGTCACTAAATTCCCAGTCACAAATGAGAAATTATCTGCAAATAATGAAAAAATAGTGCAGGGAATGATTTTAATTGAAGGCATTGACTTACTTAGTGGGCAATCATCCCCTGGGTGTTTACAGTCAGGACAACAACCATCAAAGGCCAATCTACATATTCCACATGTTTCATCTTGTGCATCCCAAGTCCATGAAGAGACAGCATGCCACCTGCAATTAATAGAGAAGTGAAACTATTACAACCCTTACCATATTAAGTTCATACAACAAGTAACATGAAAATTGCTAAAGAGAACTCACTCTATTCATGAGCCCCCAATAGTGTTTCGCGAAGGAATAGGTCAAGAGAAAACTGATATTGCAAATAGCTCAAAATATGTGATGATAGCAAAAAGTTTTAATTGTTGAATTAAACAAAATCTATACCAACTTATTAGCACAAAACTGGCGGGTAGATTAAAGAATAAAATTCCTTAAACACAATAAACCACTCATGCTATATCATTGCAGAGACAGGACAATTGCAAAACAAACAGCAAATTAAATAATAAAAAAAAAATTATAATAAAGATTATGGGAGAGGAGCTTAATTACTGTTAAAATCCACCTACTCTCCACCTACTTCACCCACTTAAACCTACTCCACTAAACCTAACCCACTACACCACTACCACCTCCACTTCACCTACTCCTTACCTACTACACACTCACCCTCTTCTATATATAGGAATCATGAATCATTGTAATAGAAATCAATATATATCAATCAATAATACAATTCTCTCTATTTCTCTATACATAATTAATTCTCTCTATTTCTCTTTATACATTAAATTTCTACAATTACTATCTTTTGGATTGGGATATTGTGCACCTTAGAGAAGGAAGATGGGTTAGGGTTCCCGAGGTTCAGTATTTTCAATAGATCTCTTGGGTAAATGGTTGTGGAAATTTGCTTGTGAAAGGGAAGAAACTGGAGGAGGATGGTGGTGGCAAAATAAGGAAGTAAATGGGGTGACTAGACATCCTTGGAGCTGTCTATGTCTCATGGGAGGGACTTGTGGAAGGGTATCTGGCTTGTTTGCGAGGATTTCTTGAAGTTGGTCAGATTTCGGGTAGGTAGAGGGGATATGGTGACTTTTTGGTGGCATACATGGTGAGGAGATGAGGTGTTGGAGACAGCTTTCCTAGCCATCTTTCTCCATGCTGTGAATAGAGAGGCAACGGTAGCCAATTATTTGCAGCTTCAGGTTATATTTTGGTATATTGGATCAACAATGAATTTGCAATACTGGGGAGTAGGATAAGATGACTAATCTTCAGAAATTACTTATGGTTATGGGGGCTTAGGAGATGACGAGGACTCATGGTAGCTAGGGAATCGGAAAAAGTAAGAGACTATGCTGGTCAGGGTGGTTACAACTCATAGAAAAGTTCTCAATTTCCACACTCAAAATTTAGATATATTACTTAAAAGGGTAAGTTGTTGGGTGATGAATTATATTTCACTTCCAAGATGAAGAAAGACCCCAAGTGTCTTAACCATTGCCAAAATTTTTCAGCAATCATCAATTTTAAAAAAGACCCCCAGTTCCATGAGCTCACATGTGTAGTCGTTTGCCTCCACAATTTTGCAAAAACCACTTTTCTATGTTCTGTTGATTTTCGAAAGTAACTCATTATCAAAATTCATGAATAAAACTATGTGAAAGGATTTATCAAAATGATCCATCATATTTATATCAAACAAGGTATCTAATTTATGCATATAAATTGTCTTCCTTTCAACACTATTAATCTGCAAGAGTTTTTATACAGAAGAGAAGTTAATTGGAAGAATGACACATAAGGAGACACATGCATTTATTTCATAGAGGAAAAATAAATTATCATAAGAAGGATACGTAAGAGTTTAACTTTCATTTTGTTTCCCACCCTGCAAAAGCAACCACACAATAAGCAAAGGCAGATTATGAATAAAGTACATTTTATATCTTCCCACTAGAAAAGGCATTAAACCACACCATTTTAGAATAATTCATCATATTTCATATTCATAGGACCATCTCCAAAATCAAGGGAGAATCATTTTTTTTTTTCCTTCATAAAATTGAGAACTTGTCAAATCCTTCATCAAATTTGAAATTGATGAAAATTTAAAAAGATGAAACATTGGGGATGATTTTTTTTCCATCAAATTTGATAAAAAGGGAAATTTGGGATAAGAGAAGAATTTTTAAAAAGATTTTAATGCAGAATTGATGAAAATATTGGAGTAGTTCATATCAAATCAAGCTTTTTACTCAAATTTAGAATCAAATTAGATCAAAAATTGGTGAAGGGTTGGAGATGCTGTTAGTAAAAGAAAACAAGCTACATTTGATTGTTGGGAAGAGAGTACAATTGAATCCTAAATAAACTAAAAAACATAGCTTTTGTTTTAAAGGGTTTTTCATTTTATTTCTGTCTCCTCATTTTTGCAGAGAACCAAATAGAAAGGATAAAGGGAACAATAGAAGGAATTCTCTTAGAATCAACAAAGAAGAGAAACTTTTTTAAATCAATCAAAAAAAAAAAAGAAAAAGAGCAACCCCTATACAACATTGATAGATTATACCCATCTAAATCAAAAGAATTATCCAAACTTGAGGTTTGTTCTTAGGATTTGGGACAAATCAAAATACAAAGTTAAGAGTAAAAATGAGATTAACTGCAAGATTAAACAAACTCCCAAGCCAAATTACTATCAACCAAAAAAAAAAAAACACGCAAAGAAGAATACAATCAGAAAATAGATTTCTTTAAATTGAAAATTGCATTCATTAAACAACCAAACCAAACCAAGGTTCGAATTTTATCATCTGGTGGATTAGATGTTATTTTACCTTGGCCGATTTAGCAGATCAACCAACCCTTTGGAAACACTGCGAAAATGAATATGATTGGTGGCAAGTTTAGGACTGGAACTAGGGTTTTGAAATGAGAGAGAGAGAGAGACTGATGAGGCTTGAATTGTCCAGAACCAGTGCCGTTGTGATACAACGTTTTGAATTGTGAAGTTAGGGCTGAGAAATTGTAAGCCTTGTTTGGCAAAGGTTTTTTTTTTTTTTTTTGATAAATTATAAATACACTTGAGATTTGTTTAAAATATATATTGTCCCTTGTAACTTAAAAAATTACAAATATCCTTTTATTATAATTTTTTATTTAATAAAATTAACTAAAAAAATAAAATTTATAATTGCTCTCCTATATAATAATAAAATTATTTAAATTATAAATTGAAACATATTTTTAGCATCATTAAAAATTGTTAATTGACTTGATGATTTATTAATAAAATTGGCGATTTATTATGAAAATAGAAATCTCAAGGGATGTAATGTAATTTTTAAAACAATAAGGGCGATTTATATTTTAATCAAACTTTAAATGATGTATTTGTAATTTATCTTTTTTTTATCTTTTTTTTAAAGTTAAAATTTCCAAAAATATAAAATAAGCTAAAATAGTTAATAAAATAAAAATATCATATCAAATTCATAATCATATCACTTTTTTTCTCTTACAAATATTAGGGATGCAATTTGGCCGGACTCAACCTAAGCAACTTTTGAACCCAATCCGAATTTTTTTAGGGCTTGGACAAGATGTTTTCAAATTTGGTACGGGCTTAAACAAAAATTCAGAAGTCCGAATTAAATTTGGGCGGGCTTGGACAAAACGTCAAACAACCAAAGCAAATCGAAACCCGTATTATACATATATAGATATATAAAAATATTAAATATACATATAAATTATTAGCCATTACATAATATTAAAGTAAATTAGATTATTAAATCATATTGAATATATATTATATATACAAATAACATAAAATCTTATCTTTTTTTATTTTTTATTTTCACTCATAAATTGTAAAGACTACTATAGCGGCATCTCTCTTACATTATATAAATTATTTATTTTAATGGTATTAATAATTTTCTATATAAAAAAAATATAAATAGAGTTAAATTTTAATAATTTAATAATGTAGTTGCAAAAAAAAAAAAATTAAAAAACATTTACAATTTGGGCAACTTGGACAATTCGAGTTTCACGCGGGTCGAGCTTGGACAGACAACCTCAGGGTTACAATTCGAGCTTGGGCGGATTTGGGCAGGTCTCAGCACAACTTGGGCTGGGCTTGGACAGCCTCCCAATCCAACCGAACCCGCTTAAGTTGCACCCCTAATTTTAGCCCTTTATATTTAAAGTTTTTTTTTTTCTTTTCAATTTATATTCCTAAAACAAATTTATGTTCAAAATTAGATATAAAATACCACGTTAGCCCTACATAAACCCAAACTTCAATATAATAATATACTTTTAGGAGATTTACGTGTAGTATAAATAGATTTATTATCTAATAGGTTATGTAAGAATTAATGGCATTTTTTATCAAACACTATTAAAAAATGTCATTAATTATTAATTTTAGCAACAGTTTAAAAAAATCGTCACAAAAAAAGTCACTAAATTTCAATTTTCAGCGACAATTTAAAAAATTTGTCACAGAAAAATGTCATTAATTATAAGTTTTAACGACAATTTATAAAAATTGTGACAAAAAAAAGTTACTAATTATCAATTTTTAGCAACATATGTAAAAAATCATCACAAAAAATTATTTTTACTTATTAGGACTTATTTTCAATAAGACTTTATGGGAATTAAGTCTAGCTATTAGAACCTATTGGTAGTTTACCCTATATTTCTATGTCACATGTCAAGTAACGTGGTATTTTATGTTTAATTTTGAATAGAAATTAGTTTTAAAAATAATTTGGAAAAAACTTGAAACATGAAGGGTCAAAGTGGGAAAAAAAACTTCAAAAGCCGAAGTGAGAAAATAACCAAACATAAAAAAGGCAAAGTGTAATTTACCTAAATAATTTTAATATTTTAAAATAAAAAATGTTCTTTACCAAATAAACTTGTTTTCTATTGGTTAGGAAAAATATTTTTCATTCATTTTCATTTTTCTGTCTTAAAAAAAACACTGTTTATTAAAACAAAGGATAACATGTCAAAGAATGTTGGATCCAAACGTGAAATTAATTTACTCTTTAATCTAACCATCCATGTTAATTATATGAAAAATTCTAAACGTACATAAAATTATGTAGGATTTATTTTATTTTGTTTTTATAGTATTACTCTAATTATATTTAATGTTTTCAGGATTACACTGTGCATAAATCTCTTGAATGCTTCATTTTGTTACGTCCCAGCAACATTTGCTTCTGCCACTACTAACACAATTCCTGCTATTACCTTTATCATCGCCATTCTTTTAAGGTACATCAAGAAATAAAATCCTAAATAAATTATATTTTTTATTTTTGTAATCTAATCCAAATTTTACTTTTAGTCTTATTGTTTTAATTTGAACCATGTTAATTACTTGTACTCCCATGTGACTCGTTTATGTCAAAAAAATTGTGATTTTTATTTCCATTTTGAACATAAAGGCCAAATTTAAACTTTAGGAACCAAATTGAATTTTGAAGCAAAATACAGTGTGAAAAGTATAATTTACACTAAACAAATAAAGAGTGATTTAGCGCACAAGCTCTTGGCACTTACTAAAGTCGATGTGATTCTCTCCTTTACATGAATAGAATGGAGATATATCTATTTCGTGATCAATAGTTGTAAAAGAGCTACATCAACATATTTTTATTTTAAATTCAAAAGCAGTTAAGGGAGATTTAAAATTCAAATTGATGTAACAATTATAAACCCCTTGATTTTGGATTTTAATGACATATTGCAACTTTATGCATGAAATGAAAGTCTCAATTCCAATCATGTAATTGATAGAATATAAATCATGCTAAACCAAGGTCTGGAAAGATAAGATGTGTACACAATCTTATTATTATTACTAAAGAAATTGATTTCACGATTCAATCTTGTATTATCAGGACGCTAATAATAAATCTTATCGTTATTTCTAAAGGAATTATCTTCATAAGTACTACCAAGAAGCTAACGACAAACCTAGTGGTTGGTATTTTTTTTAGGATGGAAAGCGTTGCCATAACTGAATGGAGTGGAGTGGCAAAGGTATTGGGTACAATGCTATGTGTTGGTGGGGCTGCGGTGTATTCTTTTGTGAAGGGGCCTCTTGTGTATCCACAGGCTGCCCAAGATCAAAATTCACACTCATATACAGGGTGTGGCACCAAAGCACAGTGCCTAAAAGGCTCTCTTTTTCCCCTCTCTGCCCAGGCTCTTTGCTCTTTGTGGCTTATTATGCATGTTCTCTCTCTCTCTCTCTCTCTCTCTCTCTCTCTCTCTCTGCCCGCTACTTGGTCTTTGTGGCTTATTATGCAGGTTCTCCCTTTCTCTCATGAATCAGTTTTGCTACAAATATAAAAATTATTAAACATAGAAAATATATGAACGAAAAAGATTTTATTGAAGTTCTCCATCTGTATACATTTTTTGTCTAATCCTCTGATCAATTTTTGTATTCTTCTTGATCAATTTTGTAACAAGCACAAAAATTAGATACAAAATACACATGGATAGATAAAATTTTATAGAATTTATTGGTGAGATTTGAAAAATCTTGGCCATATCTATACCTTCTATTAGGGGTGCTAGCGGATCCGATTTGTGCGATTTGCGGTTCGGTTTTGATCCGCCCGCACCTATGCGGTTTGGGGAAAAGTCAAACCACAACCGCCCGCAGTGCGGTTTGCGGTTTGTGCAGATAGGGTTTGCCAATGTGCAGGCAGTTTGCGGTTTGAATTTTTTCCTTTAAAATTTAATTTTTGAGTTTTTTTTCCCATTTTGTAAATATTTATTTTGGGTTATTTTCTTCCAATTTTCTAAAATGCTTCAACATTAATAATTGATGAATTAAAACTTATAAAATTAAAAACACAACAAAATCAATTCTTAACACAAACAAATCATTTAAAATCCTAAAATCATTC